TCATTATAACTACCAGTGCCATCATTAGCACAAGTACAATTATTTCTAGTAGTGCCATTATGACTGCCAGTGCCATTATTAGCACTAGTACAATTATTTCTAGTAGTGCCACTATGACTAACAGTGCCATTATTAGCACAAGTATAATTATTTCTAGTAGTGCCATTATGACTACCAGTGCCATTATTATCAAAAGTAATACTATTTCTAGTAGTGGCTTTATGACTACCAGTGCCATTATTAGCACTAGTACAATTATTTCTAGTAGTGCCATTATGACTACTAGTGCCATTATTATCACAAGTACAATTATTTCTATTTGTGCCATTTTAACTACCAGTGCCATTATTAGCACAAGTATAATTATTTCCAGTAGTACCATTATAACTATCAGTGCCATCATTAGCACAAGTACAATTATTTCTAGTAGTGCCATTATGACTGCCAGTGCCATTATTAGCATTAGTACAATTATTTCTAGCAGTGCCACTATGACTAACAGTGCCATTATTAGCACAAGTATAATTATTTCTAGTAGTGCCATTATGACTACCAGTGCCATTATTATCACAAGTAATATTATTTCTAGTAGTGGCTTTATGACTAGCAGTGCCATTATTAGCACTAGTACAATTATTTCTAGTAGTGCCTTTATGACTCCCAGTGCCATTAGCACTAGTATAATTATTTATAGTAGTGTCATTATGACTACTAGTGCCATTATTAGCACTAGTACAATTATTTCTAGTAGTGCCATTATAACTACCAGTGCCATTATTAGCACTAGTACAATTATTTCTAGTAGTGCCATTATGACTACCAGTGCCATTATTATCACAAGTAATATTATTTCTAGTAGTGGCTTTATGACTAGCAGTGCCATTATTATCACAAGTACAATTATTTCTAGTAGTGCCTTTATGACTACCAGTGCCATTATTATCACAAGTAAAATTATTTCTAGTAGTGCCATTATGACTACCAGTGCCATTATTAGCACTAATATAAATATTTCTAGTAGTGCCATTATGACTACCAGTGCCATTATTATCACTTGTATAATGATTTCTTGTAGTGACAGTATGACTACCAGTGCCATTATTATCACAAGTAAAATTATTTCTAGTAGTGCCTTTATGACTCCCAGTGCCATTAGCACGAGTAAAATTATTTCTAGTAGTGTCATTATGACTACTAGTGCCACTATTATCACAAGTAATATTATTTCTAGTAGTGGCTTTATGACTACCAGTGCCATTATTATCACAAGTACAATTATTTCTAGTAGTGCCATTA